ACCAACCAGTTGTCGAGATAGGCCAAGACCCGAAGATGTAGCAGATGAAGACGGACCACCACGACTCATGTTAAACATGTGAGGTGCCAGATTCAGCCCAAAGGGAAAACAATGAAAGCTGTATACATCTCCCCCCCCACCACCACGAAACCTAACCAATCCCTGAACCCCAGATGGATAGGAATGTGCCAATACGCGTCCCTGAGGTTCAGTAAGATCATCCACACGCCCAGCTCAAGGAGGAGCTAGACCTGGCACAACATAGTCATCCAAAAGGAGGGGCAAGGAATCAACTGGTTCAGGTAAGGCAAGTCCAGAATGTACCAGAGAAGCACAGTCTTGTTTCGGGACTGGAAACAAGCGGGAACCCACTTGAGAGAAGAGGTCGTTTCAACCGCTGTAATGACTGGTATATAAAGTTTAGCTTTAGTGGTTCTTAATGTAATGTTTCTGTTAGCTAAAATACCAGTTTGTTTTATTTGTGTTAATTTTTGTTTCTGTGTAAAGTTTTCCCACACGTTTCCGTGAGAGGAGCATTCCTGCACTCCACGAGAGGGAGATGGCCGAGACTCTCACACACAGGTTGTGTGGTGTGTGCTTGTTAGGTACTCGCCTCACTGTGTGAGGTTATTGACCTCCATTTATATCCAAGTGATGGGAACTGTAATCATAAATCGGGTGAGTGAGAGTTTACTCTTTGTTAGTGTATTATCCCTTTTCCTGTGTTTAAATAAATGTAATGCACGCACTTTGGTTGTTTCTTGAGTCCCACCAATGCAAAAATATGGTACCGGGTCCCACATGGTCATTCTTGAGTTTTGAATTGTTTATAAATGCACATGGGTTCTACAAACCCTGGTTTTAAAGCAATGTACCTATACTGTGAATAAGAAAGTAAGGACGGGTTTCGTGAGTTCGTACTCTAGGGTACGGCTTACAAGTCTTGTGGCCTTACACCACGCCCAAGCGAACCCACTCCGAGATGACCCGAGAGATAAATAGGGAAGAGGCCCCCACCCCCAAACCCGACCCTTCATAGGGAGGAAGGTCTGCTTATTGTCACTGAAGGTCGCAAGAAATAACTTGAAAATCCCACAAATCATGGGACCAGGCATGGGCAAAAAGATCCAGCCTCCTCCTCATTGCCCCGTCAACGAGGCGACCCATGAAAGGGCCAAGGGCCAAGAGCCGAGAGAAAGGCTCTCTGGCAAACCCCAAGAGCTAACTTCCGTACAGAGTGAACACTGCGCAGATTAGAGCAAGGTAGGCACTGGGGTCACCACTGACTCAAACTGGCACCACAGGCCTACTCCAACCCAAGCAAGCCTGAGCCCTAACCCGACCCTCCTGGGAGGGCTGAGAACAACCCCTTCCTCCCCACTTCCCTGGAGAACCAACAAATGTGAGGGCCGGCAACTAGCTGAAGCCACTGGCAAAAACTGAGACACTGTCCTCAGGAAACAAAAAGAGGACAAAACCGACTAGAGAGCCAGGGCCTAAGCTGAATCCAACGAGAGAGCCAGCACATACTGCCGACAGGAGACAGAGGTGAAAAACATGGAAACTGCCTCCTGGAAGATCGGTGAAAACAGCTTTAGTAAGGCAGGTACCGCAAAGGCAGCAGAGACAAAGACCCCCAGCCAAGGGCTACCACCCAGCGACCCCGCATCTTCTGATAGTCAATCTGAAGACAGCTCCAGAAGGCCAAAGAATCGCAAGACAGAAACCAAATGATTATGAGATCTAAAGTCAATGGCCACCAAATCAGCTGAAAGAGTGGTTACCTGAGCATGAAGCTGCACCAGACCAACATCATGAGGAAGCGCAGGAGCGAAGAGGCACTCATCGAGAAACTCGAGAGAACTTCCCAAGAACACCTGCAACACAGTGGTAACCTCCTGCCACTCAAGCGTGCGGGTATGACAAAAGCTGCACCAAGCCCCCAGGGAAAAGAAAAGACAGTTTGTCAACCAGGAAGACTTCAGAACATCGTAACGCAAAGGGGAATTCAAAAAGGGGAATTCAAAAAGAGGAATTAGAATCAAACTCAAACGAAGCCGGATCAATCACCGAGGCATAAACCAGTCCTGCATGAGGTAGGCACTGAGAGCCTCCCGAACCTCCATGGCAAATCCGCCAGGAAGAAAACCTCTAGAAAGATGAATCCGAGGAACCCAAAGACACCCGGAACGGCACCTAGGGGTGAAGAAGCCCTCCCCCAACTCAAACTCATAAAGAGAAGGAGTGTTAAAAGAACCCCCTACCTGGCAGAAGAAGCCCCTGCAAAGAGGGCGCAAGGGCCCAAGTGGGGTCAAATGGAACCCAAGACCTCTCGGACTCCCCCAGAGCCGCAGAAACCATTGGCAAAGTCCCTAGGGCAAAGCTCTCATCCATGCCCACCACCCCAGAAGGAAAGGCGGAATCCAGGGGGAAAAGCTTCAAAGAAAGGCAACGGCTTCTTGAGGTTATCTTGAGATGATTTCGGGGCTTAGCGTCCTTGCAACCCGGTCCTCGACCAGGCCCCATTTTTGTTACACACCCCCAGGAAGCAGACTGTAGCAGCTGTCTAACTCCCAGGTACTGTACCTATTTACTGCTAGGTAAGCAGGGCATCAGGGTGAAAGAAACTGCCCGTTTGTTTCTGCCTTCACCGGGGATCGAACCCGGAACCTCAGGACTACGAATCTGAAGAGCTGTCCACTCAGCTGTCAGGCCCCTTAGCTGTTAGGCCCCAGGCTGGATAGACTCAGAATTCTCGGCAGGAAGAATAGGCTCAACCACCTCCGCATCGGAAGGGGCAGTTCCCAATGCCACCCGACCCTCGTTCCGAGCTAAACTTCGCCCAGACTCCAAAACCCTCCGATGTTTGGGAGGCGGCAGCAGGAGGGGAGGAGAAGAGCGAACCAAGCCCACATGATAAGGAATATGGGGGGGCGAACTGAACCAAGGCCAAAGCGACAAAAGCCCCTAAAGCCCAAGCAGGACAGCTTCAAACGAGCAACAAACCTGGCTATTGTAGTTTTCACTCTGGCCACTGCATCACAGAAAAACACCCATGCAATGCAGCTGCTGCCTGATCCCTCATAGTAGCAGTAGTAGGAAGATGAGTGAATTGCAGCACGAGCAGGAACAAGTCTCACAAGACTCTGGGTCGTAGATGTCGCCGACCCAACAGACAGTATAGTGGAGACGAGCAACCCTCGTATTTGCACAAAGCGACAGTGGACTCGGAAGTAGTGTCCATAGTGTGACTGAATCCACCAGGGTTTTCCAGGGCCTGCAGGGTGAATGAGCCCTACAGGAAGCCCAGGCACTGGGCCAGCTAACTGGTAATCTCTGTCAATGCAGGTAAACTGACTGCAAGTAGCAGCCGAGAAACCTCGGTAGGTAAGAGAGGACCACCACCACCACCACCACATCCTAGGCCAAGCCTAATGAGGAGCTAAGCAGCCCTCCTCTGCAAAACAAGGCAAAAATGCTAGGAACAGGAAAAAAAGGCAATCAGAGAGAGAAACGTCAGTTCGCCTAATGATAGCGTATACCAAGCTGCATCAGCCACTGTGAACCTCATCAGCCGAAAATCACACCCCTACCACGGTCAAGTTGGAAAGCCCACAAGACCCCCAATGCACCCCAAGGGCGAAGATAACCATAAGCAAGTTAGTCCTCAAAAAGGGAGTGAATCCTAACACCCCCAGGGAAGAAATCCCAAAAATGCAAGGGCAGTACTTACGGAGCACCCAGGGAAGATGGGTGCTAGGCATGTGCAGCTCCTGTACACTAAAACACCTGGCTAATGCACAACACACGTGCAGGAACAGCTCACAAGGTAAAAATCCAGAACAGGAAATTGTAGCTAGAGGTGACATTTGACTGCCAATCACATCAGTCAAGAACTGGAGGGTGGGTAGCCCGGCTCCCCCCTTCCCCCGTAGAGGAGTGGCAGTACTAACCAGCAGGAGGGGAAGAGGGGGGGGGGGAGCTAGTTGGACAAAGTATTGCTCATTTGTTTTCTTTCTGAGGGAGTTCTTTTGCACTTTTGACAACGTAGGTCGCAATTTTCAACCAGACTGTGGTCTGTTTCGTTTCACTTACCTTTCTGGGTGCCTTCCCTGGTTGATGGCACAACCCATCCTCTTGAAGAGTACATTGCATTTTGATGTATAAATCACCTAAGGCCAAAAATGTATGAACTAAAAATCATAGCAATTTAGTACATCAGTTTAGTTACACTGAATGCTCAAGAGGGCAGGTTGAATATATTACAGGTCAACCTCAAAATTCCAGATTACTGTAGACCTTAAGTTCCTTTTAACCTTCAAGACTTTGATATATGGACACGATTCCTGTCCTTAAAGCAAATCTAATGATAATACCATATGGTCTAATTATGGTCTATGTAATTGGTCTAATTAAGTTACTTTTAATTAACGAAGTGAACAATAAGAATCAGTTAAGCTATTTCTTTTTAATTGTGAGCTTGACCTCTGATGCCTTCCAATTGAAAGACTTTAATCAGTTTGAACATTATAGATCAAACAAGATGTGGGTTGAATTCAATCTACTTCCAAATTTCTTTTGGTGTGGTATTAGAATGTGTGTTTAATTAGTGCCTTGCAGAACATTAACGATTAAGATCTGCTTTAATGATTCTTTAGTTACAAATGTATGCTATCATAGTTTACAACTCTGCAATTATTGTATTGTTTTGATTTTTATAACATTAAACAGAGAAGCCAATTTGGAAAAAGGTCAGCTATTGTGTCAAAAATAGTTAATAATATACAAGTAGTCAAGAGAATGAATCAAACTAAAAATATAATTGTTTTTTGTACTTGAGCATCTAAAATATTTTTTAGATTTATATCCATAAACCGCACTAGTAAACAAAACTAATACACTGAAGTAAATGAGAAATTAGTCCATGTAATTAAAAGCAGGAGAAATGGATAAAAATAATTACAGGAATTGGTATAGGACAATCCTGAATGAATCCCAAGTAACAAGAATATCAAATATATTTGAATAATATAACCATGTCAATTAAAAACAATACTTTCAGGCCATAAGAAGAGAGCATACAGCACACTGAAATACAGTTAAAAGCACTTTGCTGCTAATTTTGAAACTTGTACAGTGGCAGCATGGAAAAGATGCACATTATGTAAAACCATTTACAACATGAAAAGGCAATAATACAGCACAGATCTTTTTATGATAACAATATCTTATTAAGTTCTACTGCTGACTTTTTGCATTAGTTAGGTAGACTCTGAATAATGCTAATGCTACACAGATAACTATGAAGTCCAACAAATTTACTCAATTATTTAAGAAAATGTTACTCTCATTTCTTTTTACGACCCCGCTTCTTCTTTTCTGGAGGAGCACCACGCTGTTTGTGTTGTGATAAGCAACGTGGACAGTACCAATTCACATCATCATTAGGTGGGACTTGAATACCTACACAAACCCTGAAAGAATAAACTTAATTTTTATTAATATACAGTTAAGAAATTAATATTATTTCTACATAAACCTGAACCTCTTAGTCTTATTTAATCATCAAGTATAGTAAGTACTAATGGTAATGTAATGTCTTCTCACAGATATATTAACATAGGATAAAAACCCACACTTATGTATTTGTAAAATTTATGTAAAGATTTACACAAGTCGTTTGTACTCTCCTGAGTGCTTTGTCAAGGTTTGAGTGTGTGGTTAGGATGAGACCTACATCTCAATGACTAACGCCATTATACGTTGAGATGCAAGTCTCATCCTAACCACACACTCAGACCTTGACAAAGCACTCAGGAGAGTGTAAATGACTTATGTAAATCTTTACATAAATTTTACAAATACATAAGTGAGGGTTTTTATCCTATTAAGTACAGTGGAACCTCGATTACGAATTTAATCCATTCTGGCACTGAGCTCGTCAGGTGAAATGTTCATCTTTCAAAACGAATTTCCTCATTTAAAATATTGGAATTAAAATAATCTGTTCCACCACCGAAAAACATCAATATGATATTCAATTTTTTAAATAATGGAGCAGCCTACCTGACATACAATGAACGAACCTTTATGACATTTGTCCTTTTTTCAAATTTGTTCAATTTTTTTTTCATTTTTTATAGCAAAAGGTTCATTCGTTGTTCGTCAGGTAGACTGCTCCAAATAAAAAAGACAAAAAAAATTAAACAAATTTGAAAAACAGATAAACGTCATAAAGGTTCGTTCAGTGTTTGTCAGGTAGGATGCTCCATTATGACAATCTTTCTTTGTTTCAAATGTGTTCAATTTGTTTTGTATGTTTTATTTGCTAATTAATAATGGAGCAGCCTATCTGCACACACACACTGAACAAACCTTTATGACATTTGTTCTTTTTTTTTCAAATTATTTTTTTTTTAAGAAACATAGAGCAGCCTAACCTGACAAACACTGAACGAACCTTTTTGACATTTGTTCTTTTCAAATTTTTTTTTTAATTTTTTTTTTTTATTCCACAAAAAAAAATAGGAATGCTTTGCAACATCACAGCAGTCACCCCTTTACATCCCAGCATCATTAGCATCTTTAAACAAAAAAAATGTATTTGCATCGTCGGAGGCGTCCGAGAATTTGCGAGAAGCAGTGGGAACACACCATGTGGTTTTCTCGTTATTCAAACGAGTGCTCGTTTGGCGTTCGGCAAACTCGTTACTCAAAATGCTCATAAATTGGGCTGCTCGTCACTCGAGGTTCCACTGTATAGTATGGAGAATCTATGATTCTCATCTCCATTTTTTTTTATTTACCTTAACCTAGGAGTGTCACTTAGAATTATAGCTTTGAAACTTAAAATACATTATAATTTATTAAGGCTTCTTATTTAACCCTTAGACAACAGCTATGGAGGAATGGTCATACCTGCCTATGCACAAAAATAAAAAAATTCCAACAAATAATTTTTCATTATAGAATTATTAATTTGTATGCAGAGGTTATCTTGAGATGATTTCGGGGCTCAGCGTCCCCACGGCCCGGTTCTCTACCAGGCCTTCTTTTTGTTACACACCCCCAGGAAGCAGCCTATAGCAGCTGTCTAACTCCCAGGTACAGTATCTATTTACTGCTTGGTGAACAGGGGCATCAAGGTGAAAGAAACTCTGCCCATTTGTTTCCGCCCCCACCGGGAATCGAACCCAGAACCTCAGGACTACAAATCCGAAGTGCTGCCCACTCAACTGTCAGACCCCTCTGTAAGAATTGCAGAATGTAAGAAAAACATGAAAATAAGTGATTATTTATTGTTTCACTGGTTGGAGGCACTCTAAGTCTGGGTCTGGCACTTGTCAACGTCTAGTGCTCGACTATACAGACTTCCTGTTTTATCTTCCAATGTTTCACTGATTGTTTTAACACTTTTTTTCTTTATTTACATCCACAGAGAACTTTTATATTCATATTTGCATCAAACATGTTAAACCTAGACAATAATTGTTTAAATCATCATATGATGATGACCGCATTCCCTTAGTAACATTCATGACGATAAATGCATCTGTACCATGAAATGGTAGCAGAATTTTTTTCATGGGTCAAGGTAAACTCCATTACATCCACATAGACCTATAATATCCATATTTGCATCATACATGTACTTCCCAGACAAAAATGTTTAAAATCTTCATGTGATGATAACCACATTACCTTGTGAATCAACAACTGACAATAACCACTGTCTATACGGATTAAAATAGGCAGTGCAACCCTCATGTTGGCTGTTGGTGTTTTATTTTGCAAATAATACAGTATGACTATCTCAATCACAGTACAGTATACCGTAATGTAATTACCTCAAATTTGGTATACATGTGCCTAAGTCAATATACTACATTATTTCAATATTAATACTGTAATAAATTGTCATCCACACTTCCATGGATATAAAACATTTCGTTCACCTGGACTCTAGGAGACTCAAACCGCGGACCCCACGCGTGTGAGGCCGAAGCTCTATCCACTTTAGGAAAGTACATATTGTCATACAAAATGGGATACAAGAAGAATGTTGGATATCTAGGTACAGCAAGTATATATTAAACCTAAAGCCACTAATACAGTCAATGTTTTGGGCATTTTAGGCATTTTAACACCATGGTACCTGGCAATTCTTTAGCTAAAGTATCTTAAAATATTTATAGCTAAAATATTTTATACTCTGTTTCAGCCCTTGAAACTTTACATCAAACTGACCTGTATAGTATTATGTTAAAGATCTTAACCCTTTTGCTTTGATTCCAATTTCTGGTTGTATTTTACAACCCCAAACTGTGTTCAGATGACACTCCTGGATGTTTAACATGTGCGGAAACTTGAAAGCAATTTAACAGATGTTAGGTTGTGTCTTGGACTGTAAGATGTCCTTTGGGACAGATTAGCCATGTTACAAAAAAAAATATTTCAGCCATATGTGCATACAGAAGCTGTGTGGCATGACCATTTCACCTGCTTTGCTGCTTCCCCACAGACTAATTAATGTTATTAGTTATTTCTTAATTATTTTAATTATTTGTGATGACAATGCAGACTTCCTGAATTAACATATAGCGGATATAATGACTCTGAATGCCAGCACATAGGTACCTTGAGTTTGTGACACGGGACAGGACTAACATATGTATTTGTTACAAAACCTAGAACATAGCACATAGATTTTGTTATTATATACCTGTTAGTTTATCAGAATAAAAAAACTACCCCTAGGTAGGTTGCAGTGTGAAGGCAAGCCTTGAAAAGTGCAGCAGGCTTCTCAGACCTATAAACACCTTAAGAGTCACCACCACATCTGGCTCCCTATCTAATTATACTTAGAATTTAGATAATACCAGTTTCATTACCTGTAATCATTATCAATAACCATTACTAATATGCATTATATTTTAATCATTATATCTTTGAGTCTTCATATTTATTCTTACAATATAAGGAAAATAAGAAAATTAAATATTTTTTATTTATAAGAAATTATAAAATATATATATAGGTTAATAAAAATAAATTACGGTTTACTAACCAGTGGTACCAATCATCACATGTATCGCAGCCGATCATGGGAGAACCATCATCTTGCTTACCACACGTGGGGCAGATCCACACTTCATTACCCTGGTCATCCTGTGTGTAGATATTATTTATTTATATTTATTTATATTATATATATATATGCGAACAAGCCTGAATGGTCCCCAGGACTATATGCAACTGAAAACTCACAACCCAGAAGTGACTCAAACCCATACTGCCAGGAGCACTCTGCTGGCGTACAGGATCCCTTAACCGCTCGACCAACACGACCGGACAAAAGAGGATGGTAGCCGAGGCTATTTCCATCCCCCCGCCGGCACTCGGTTGGTAATCTTGGGCATGGTATTTTATCAAATCACCTCATTTAGTTGGGGCACACGTGAGGGAACACAAATTCGAACAAGCCTGAATGGTCCCCAGGACTAGTTTTCAGTTGCATATAGTCCTGGGGACCATTTAGGCTTACTCCTCTCATATTCAACATGGAAAATCAATAGGAGCCATGGGGAAGATTCGAACATGCATCCTCTTTGTGCATTCTACAGTCAAATGAACCGTTCTTTACTTTCTGAGAACTGTGCATTTGTGGGCCCTAAACCTAAGGAAATTTTTGCCTTTGGCACTGCAAAATAAACAAGTACCAAAAAATTCAAACCTACTGATTGGCTTTGTAAATAAAACTTAGCTGCGTACTTACCACAAAGTGACCAATAGGACCAACTGTCTCCGTGAGAAGCCCTGTGCTCTTCTGTTCTTGCTTTTTGCTGGACTTGGGTGTGTCTAGGGGAGGGGACACTACAGGCACAGGTGTAGGCACCACTTGAGGTGGGAAGGATAGATCAGTACTACTCACTCCCCCAGTGCCTGGTGCTGGGCTGCTGAGACTTGGTGATGCAGGAACAGACATGGGAGTGGGCTGCATCTGCTCTTTTGGCTTTTTCTCTTTTTTTTCTTTCTTTTCACGTACCTTTTTGCTTCCTGAAAAATCCAATTTATTTAAGACGGGACACCACGAGCATAGCTCTCATCCTGTAACTACACTTAGGTAATTACACTTAGGTAATTACACATACACACACACTCATTTACACCTGTATATTCAATGTTAGACATTGTACCTTTATACATAGACAGTATTGGTCACAGAGCCTAAGGAAGGCAGAAGGAATGTTGATGTAAAAAACAGGATAAAAACTACTGGTGTTAGTACTGTACAACAATGTATGATATAAAACAAGTAATACCTGGAGACTTTTTTTCCTCAGGAGGTTTAGGCATGGAGGAAGGCTTTGGCATGCTAAGTGGCTTCGGTGTAGTGGGCAGCTTAGGTGTGGGTGACTGCTTTGGTATACTTGGAGGTTTTGTCACAGGTTTTGGTGTGGGTGGTGGTTTAGATGGAGTTGCTGAAGCTGTCTTTATTTTGAGCGGAGGCACCTCCTTAGTGTCCTTGGTTTTGATCGGCGAGTGACTGGGTTCCTTGCCCTCTTTTTGCTTGATAGTTGTATTTTGGACGTCCTTGATTTTCAAAACAGGAACAACAGGTGGGGATTCTCCCTTTTTCTGTTGGCTTCGTGGAGGTCTCGTTATTAGTGCCGAGAATTTGGCAATCTCGGGAGAACCTGGTTGGTCCTCGTGAGTGGTTGATGGGACAGATGTGGGCTTGGTTACTGGTATTTCTTCTTCTTGTTTCACCACAGGCTTGATTACTCTGCAGGAAGAAAAATAAATCAAGATTATTTTTTTTAACTATTCATAGGCATGTTAACAATTGTCTGTCAATGCATCTCCATACAAGTTAATCACTTTTATAAATAAATAATGCATTAATTTAGAGCAATATTATAATCAGTATGTTAAATCTGCAGTACGTTTCTAATTATGATACTGTAGTTCAATGCAAATAACACAGTACTGTATATTGTATTTCTCCGTCTCAAATGTTCTTTATACATGCTACTGTTTTACTTTTATGAACTGTATTTTATTTACCATAGAAAAATCCAAGACCAATAACTATACTGTAATTATTTATTACATAAAATAAGTCAATAAGCTTTATGCAAACCATATTCTATTATACTGCAGAATTCATTAAAAACATTATGTATAAGATACAACAACTTTACAGTATTTGGAAGTAATATACTGTATTCACAGTTTAAACAAAAATAAAATACTTATAAGGTTGAATTTGCGAAGAATCTTGCTGGAGCTTATATTACTAATAAACAAATTTGAAAAATTCATTAAGAGGATCATGCTATTTCTAAGAAATTTATAAAATAAATAAATATATATATATATATATATATATATATATATATATATATATATATATATATATATATATATATATATATATATATATATGTCGTACCTAGTAGCCAGAACGCACTTCTCAGCCTACTATGCAAGGCCCAATTTGCCTAATAAGCCAAGTTTTCATGAACTAATCATTTTTCGACTACCTAACCTACCTAACCTAACCTAACCTAACTTTTTCGGCTACCTAACCTAACCTAACCTATAAAGATAGGTTAGGTTAGGTTAGGTAGGGTTGGTTAGGTTCGGTCATATATCTACATTAATTTTAACTGCAATTAAAAAAAATTGACCTCATACATAATGAAATGGGTAGCTTTATCATTTCATAAGAAAAAAATTATAGAAAATATATTAATTCAGGAAAACTTGGCTTATTAGGCAAATTGGGCCTTGCATAGTAGGCTGAGAAGTGCATTCTGGCTATTAGGTACGACATATATATATATATATATATATATATATATATATATATATATATATATATATATATATATATATATATATATATATATATATATATATATATATATATATATATATATATATATATATATATAGTAGATTCAGTATACAGAATATAGTGTATAAAAATGAAAACATGACAAGGCCAAGAAGAGAATTAACTGTAGGTTTCAAGAAGATGAAAACCAACTTTCTAAATTCTATATAAAACAAAAATTAATGTCAAAACCTGCAACTACTACTGTAGAAGCCTCTCACCAACACTACAAGAGGAACCAGCCAACTTTATGCCTGATGCCAGCCACTACACTACAGAGAACACTTGCACGTCCAGGGGATGCCTCACAAGAAGCTATAATAGTAGAAAGCTCCCACAACAAAGATTTATACATACTTGACATTTAAAAAATGAGAAGCTCCAACTACTGGTAATATTCCAATACCAGCTGTTGTGTGACTTGTAATACAAAGCAAGAAAATTATTTATAAGTATACAGTATTTAATAAAAAGCCAGACAAAAAAAGATGCTCAATAAATAAAGATATCCCTAAGCATAGCAAGCACACAGTATCAGATTATTTAAAGCTATGAACTTGCTTGTTCTGGATCTTCTTATTTTTATGGCAAGGTTGTCAAAATGCCTTGGCTAGATACCACTGGCTCTGGTAAAATGATATGCTTAACAATTTCACACAAATAGGAAAAATAATTACAATTATACACCAGTTTAAAATTCAACAGCAGCTGATTGTTATTCTTCAATGGCAACAGGGACATTTAAAGTGGAAAGGTAACAGGAAATACTGGATATCAGAACAGTACGGGAGATGATGGGAGTTTTGAAAGTTAGTGGGAAGATGGATGAATAATTGAGTTTAGACAAAGAATGAGAAACAAATTAAGAAGAATTTCATAATGTCAACACAGTTGTAAGAAACAGGATGAAGATGACAAATCATGTCCAGAGTTATGTTATGGTGTTGAGACTTTCATTGAGGCTTGTTAGGCAAAAGTTAATAAGAAGGAAATGTTTCCTGGCCTGCCATAGGCCAACTTTATAAAAAAAAAAAAAAAAAAAAATGTTAAACTATGATAAATTTAAGAGCGATCTGACTCAAAAGATGGTACTGCGAGTACAAATTCGTCTGTCCTCATTCTAACTTAAGATGCCCTATTTTACTGGCCACACTTTATCACTAACCTCCAGTTATTTTCACTTCCATTATCACGAAGAGTCCTACTCAGACCCCATGATATATGATGCGTATGTAAATCTTCAACAGAAAAAAACAAAACAAAGAGAAACCCCCAAAACAGTTACAAAAGTTGATGAAACCCGAGGCCAAACCCCTGGAGCGTGAGGCATATTTAACTACTAATTTACAAATGAAGTGCAAAACAAACTGGTGGTGTTACCGAGGTGTCTAGTGTGGCAATTCCAGGTCCTGTAGGGTTTACTCTGCCTGGGTATTATCCTGAAGTTTTTTCTGATGCCTCTCCTGCTACCTCTTTACTGCAAACTACAGCAGCTTCTCTCTCACTCTCACTCCCTTTCACTCTACTCTGACGAACACTTGCTCCTCCTTTGACAATAAGTCCTCTCTCTCAGTGCTCTTCAGATTTTTTATTTAAAAACAAAATTTGTGTATAAAATTTAAAAATGCTTTTCCATGTAAATGCACAGAAGTCCCAAGTTAAATGAGATCAGGTACACATAACTAATATAACATTTACTTCACACATTTTCAGCACCATATTTTCACTTTTACATATGGGATATTTCTTGTCCAGAGACACATTCTCCACTTTTCCCCTGCTTCACTACTTGACAGCCGAATGTTTTTTTCTGTTCTTACGTGCCAAGACACTGGAACAAGACGATGTGAAGGAGGTGAGAAGGTGATGTGGTCAACAGAACAAACAGAACACATTGGTGCCATTTATTGTAAGTCAGTCACTACCCCTGGCACCAGCCTAAATTTAATCATTATACAGTAACCTGCTAAAGTCATCAAGAGAAAACATATGCTTCAACATAAAACAAAAAGTAATTTGGGATAGGACTAATAAATAATTCTGTCACAATTTCTAGTGCAAGTGACAATGACATCATTACAGCACAAGTCCACGTATTGGATGCTGCAACATGAGAACCGTTTATGAATTTATACACACCTATGCATTACTATACTACAGTATTTATATAAAACTATGTATCACAGGGAAAATAAATTGTCATCCACACTTCTGTGAAAATAAACATTTCATTCACATGACCCACGGACCCCACTCATGTGAGGCAGAAGCTCTATCCACTTGGCTATGAGTAGTCTTAATAAGTGACTACTACTGAAGCTCAGAGGAATTAGTGAGCCACGCCCTCAATTTATATGACGTGAGCGTGGATCACTAATTCCTCCGAGCTTCAGTAGTATTCGGGAAAAGTCGAAAATCCCAGTTTGGCATCAGGATGTTGCTTTTGGAATCTTTCCTTAAGACTGCTCATAACTGAGTGGATAGAGCTTCTGCCTCACACACGTGGGGGTCCGTGGTTTGAGTCTCCTACAGCCCAGGTGAATGGTATCCATCACAGGAAATTTGTTGCAGTAACCTTAAACAAATACTGATGAGAAAAATAGCAACATATGGAAGGAGAGATGTGTATTTACTATGAAAGTTTTTTATGAAACATTTCTACTTATGTGATACCAAAATAAATTATAATAATAATAATAATAATAATAATAATAATAATAATAATAATTTATGAGCTGCATTTAACAAAGTGCATACAAAAATAATGAAGATTTTTGTGCACTAAAATATATGACAAGGTAACTAAAATTTCAACTAATCAAATTTATCATCAATGGAAAATATATACCATATCTGCCAGCATATAAGATGCTTTTTTTTGTACAGAGTATTTTTAAATTAATAAAAAACCAGCATTGAAATGCCATTATTTGGCTGAGCCCAGGAGGCTCCCTGGAGCTATCAGGCGAATATGTGATATATTAGACCAGGGCAATAAGTTAATGGAGTTCAGGCTATCAGGGACCACGAGCCAGAACCTTGCCCCCTCAGAGAGGCACTGGGAGGAATGACCCTCTGGAAAAACCGCTGTGGTTGGCGGCTTTCCTAATCTGCCATCGACCAGGGTTAGGCACCCAGATAGGTAGACATAACAAAACAGACCCCACTTGGTAAGAAAATTACAACAGAAAATGAACAGAGGCAGAACTCCTCCAATTCCCAAGTAAGCAATAAAATAAGCAAATGCTCGTCCGGGACTCCCCTCTCCCCCTTCAAGGAGGGGGGGGGGGCCCTGGACCATCTGCGTCGGCTACTCAGCAATCCCAGTACAAAGGCTAGGCGTCAAAACAACGCAAAAACTGCCGACCGGAGGGAGGGAAGGAGGGAGGGAAGGAGGGTGCCAGGGAGCCTCAGGGGCTCATCCAGAAAATGGTGTTTTATTACATTCAATGCTGGTTTTCTGTGGAACTTGTTCTGTCTCTCCTTATTCTTCACTCCCACTCTAATGCTTTTGTTGGTTTGCCTTTATGTACCACTTTACTGGTTTGCCACTTTACTGGTACCCCTATCACTTTGTAGAAAAAAGAATTTATTCTTCATTCCTGCTCTCATTTAAACGTTTTTGCCTCGGCGAGGTTCAGTTTCAGCTTCTCTCTGTCTTATTGAAAGATCTCGTCTTAATGACCATACTTTTCCTACCTCATCACTTTGTAATTTTCTAGCATTCCTTAGTACTTCTTCCATCTGTTTGGCACCGTTCAGGGTGATCCTCAGAGGTCGATCTTTCCCTTTTATGTACTTTTCCAATCCTCCTGTAGTCGCAGACATTCTCGATGGTAACAAGACCTTCCACGAGGCCAACAATTTTATCTTCTACTTCCTCT